CCCTCTAGTGACTGATAGTGTGTTCCAAGAGACCGTTTCCTTATGGGCTAAAACATGTAAAGGAGTTGATTGAAAATAAATAAAAGAGGATCAGCAGCTGGGATGAGGTCTGTGAGAGCTGGTGCTGCCCCACTGCAGAGTGACCAGTGAAGGAGATCCTTTTTGTCCGTTGGAAACAAAATGAACACTGGGGATACTGGGGAAAAGCCCTGGAACACGAAGGTCTAACAGAATGTTAAAGCTGCATAGACCCACTGTTTATATGACAAACAACTGTGCTTTTGTGTGTGCCTTCCTGTAAGCCTTTTGTGTTTACAAACCCCATAAAATCACCTGTTTCTTCCTACATGTCAGAGTGGATTGCTGGAATCCACCAGGATTACTGTGGAGGTTACTAAGCCTGAAGTGTGTTCAGCCCTTGACATCAGCCTGTGTTGATACAGGCATGCTACTCCACCAGACATGCATCTTGCTTCATCCTTTTGGGCCAGGCCTTCAACCCCAGATTAGTCAATGCCTTCCCAACCCCATGACCAAACTGGCTTGGAATCAGGGAAGTTTTCCTCCAACACATTTGGAGGACACCAGCTTGGTTTTTCTGCCACATGTATTTGGAAACCAAAGCAAGCATTGGTTGGTAGACCACATTCTCATTTTCTTGGGATGCATTTGTTGTAGGGTGACTGCCGGTGTTGTAGTGGAGAAAGGGCTTGCATATCTAAGGGTGGGGACTGCTTCATTAGCTGGAAGGAGGATTTCATTTGCTCCCCCCCCCCCCAATTCCTCCTGAGCTTTGCTGCAATCCATAAGGTGGCTGCGATGGGGGCGGGGATGGATTGATTTTTTCAGCATCAGTATATAGGTGTGAGCAAATTGTTCCAGGTGGGTTGATCTTGAATGGGTAACTAACACCCATTTGCTTTACAAAAGACTGTGTTTATTGGTAGGGATCAACACAGCTAGTGCATTTTGAACTCCTGTGGAGGTGTCTGCCACCAGTAAAGAGTTGTATGGCACATTAAACATTTATCAATTAATTGCAAATTGAACATTCCAGAAGAAGTATAGGAATGTATTGTAGACTATCCCAACCTATGCTTTTAGGCTGCAAATGTAGGTAATTACTATTAAGCATGGTGGGATTTACATCTAGATAAATCTTGCTTGCTTTCCCCTCTATCACCAACAAGCACAACAGCACTGGACAGGACTACATGATGTTGCTTTGCTACTCCTGGTCCTCCAAGCAGTCAAGGAAACTAAGAATTGTATTTCAGAAGTCTCACTTTTGGTAGTTTCTTTGATTCTGCAAGACATTTCTCTATAAATAATTTCTTTTGGTTTTAATTTCTAAAAATCCTAAGATCAACACTAAATATTGCAAAATTAAATTTCTGGCAACCACATAACCATACAACTCTTAAAGTACCAAAATGCCACCCCAAATTCCTAATAAATGTATTGCTTAACTGCTGGTGTTAGATTTATATTTCTCATGGACCAGCATAGCTACCTTTCTTTTTGAAAGGTTGTCCTTTACCAAATATATCAATTCCCAGGTTTTTCTAGCTCCAGATATTGGATGCATCTTCAGAGTGGAGAAGGCAAGGTGCAGCTTTGAGCGCATTTATGAAGGAGAAAAACTCCACTGCTAAATACACTTACATTGGAGTAAATCTCATTGAACTCAGTACATATTACTTTTGATTAAACATGTTTAGGATGACACAGTATATTTGGTGTAGTGTTGAATATGCTTTCCCATCCATAGATCTCTCTGGAGCCCTAATTGGTCCTCTGCCCCACATTATTTCCTGTACTCTTGAAGTTACCTTTCCCACCCCACAGATCCCTGTAGTGATATCTAGGGCTGGGCCCAAGAACCTTTTCCTGCCTGAGTAGGAAATGGACGCTTTGCACAAAACCCTAGTCAAGGTGCACAGTAGTACTCAAAGCCAGCCAAGCTGTGTTGGCCCCTGAGCAAGAAAAACCCCTGCTGACCCCCCCCCACCCCGACCCCCCAGCACTGTTCTTCTTTTCCATGGCCATAGAATACAGTAATTAATAAATAACAAGCAATTTGCTCTTGTCTGATGACCGAACTGTCTCAGGCTTTTAAATGACCCTGTCACCTAAGGACACCCCAATATGTATGGACAGAGGAAGACAAACATTTGATAACAAAACAGGAAAAAAACCCTCAAGCAGAAAGATGGACCACGTGTTTGCCAAAAGCCAGATAGCTCAGAGAGATCAGATGTAACAAAGAGCATAGCTGGCCCTATAGCTTTATTCCAGCAAGTGCCAAAGCAACTTCTTCTTCTTCTTTTTGCCCAGAGGACTCATGTCCATAAAAGCTGATTAAACTATAGTAGCCAGTGTGGTGTAGTGGTTAAGAGTGTCGGACTGAGACTCAGGTGAATGGGTTTTAGTCCCTGCTCAGCTATGGAACCAAATGAGTAACTTTGGGCCAGTCACAGACTCTCAGCCCAACCTACCTCACATGGTTGTTGTTTTGGGATAAGATTGAGAGGAAGAGGTGGTGTAAGCCACTTTGAGTTCTTTAAAAGAAAAGGGGGGTATAGATCTAATAGAGAAAATAGCACATTTGTGAATTTAAGGGTCCATAGGACATTGTGGCTTTTGAACACACCAGAACAAGAAGCTCCTATCCACTTCACTTTTTTTTTTTCATTTTTCCCTAGCCAATACAAGCCTCTGATGTCAGGGAGTACCATGAACCTGCCAGAAACTGGCCATGTGCATCACACAGAAAGAAGCGGGTACACTCTAAAAAGATTATTGGAAAGCCAAAGAGTTCTGAACACAAGCCAGGGCAAACCATACACTCATATACTAACTTGCCATTGCTGCTCTTCCAAATCCTTTTTGCAAACAACCTCACTTCTGTTTTCCCCCAAGCGAAGGGGCCTGGACCAGCTAGAAGGAAGGAAGACCTCTGGCCCTTGTTTGATATGTGAGCAGCAAATCTGCCTGGCCTTCCTCTTGTCTGGGCCTTCCTGCCTGCAATAGCTCAGGCCACAAGGGCAATTGCCTCGTAGCGAATTGCTGGGCATCTCTCTGCAATCAGGCATATTCTGAGAAAGCTGGGTGACAGTGCTCTTGCCACTGGGCGATCTGGGACTCTGGACTTAATGAAAATACTGAGTAGGCTGCGCAGGGAAGGCAGCAGTCTTCCTTCTAGTTTGAAAGGCTAGTGTTTTCATGCTACACTTTTTATTAGCCCGCTAAGGGGGTGAATCCTAGTCTCCTAGTAACTGCAAGGTTACTGAGTTCAGAGGGAAGAGGCAGGCTTGTGTTAAGGCAGCCGGGGCAGTGCTAAAGATTTTGGGCATGGCTGAAAAGCTCCAGGGCCCAGGTCTTTGTAACACCGCCTACTCTACTTTTCTTCTCACAGGTTTGGTAACCTTCTGCACTAAAATTTCTTTCAAAGTGGCAGCTGTGACTCTGCCTAGCTACATTCAATCCAAGATTCCAATTTGTATCATTCCCTCTCCTCCTCTTAACATACTTTCAAGCATCATTAAGGAAGTGAAATATTGCTATTCTTCAGGCCAAATAAGGTTTTGCTTGAATGCAGACTTGGAATGCAATGGGTGCAAGAGAAATAAATACTATTATTGATAAGCAAAGTGCATTTCTGGGAAGGGGATGAGCTTTATCGTGTATCAGCAATATAACTGCCAATCAAAATGGAGGAAAAAGGACATGCATTGCAAGAAAAGAAAAAAGAGCACTGGTGCACATAAAATTTGGTTATGCTAATTTAAAGAGACAGATGCAAATTTAGATTTTTAAAAATGATTTAAAAACAAATCCAGTGACAGTGTGGGAGAAGTGCAGCTGTGGAACTAACCGTTGGTGGGCAACAGTTCTTAGGGTTCTTTATCTTCAAATCGGACTGGGGAAGGATCATCCGTGAAAGAGATGCCTTCAAATGTGCCAGGGACTATCTTTCAGGAAAGGAAACACAGGGCAGAGCTGCCTCGCCCCTTCCCAGATCTGCTTTGGTCTTGCTGCAATAGGGCTCAGCACTGCAGTGTCATCATGCTTCTCAAGAAACAATCCCCACTAGTCTTAAGCTTCAGCTACGAAACAAAAAGCCTCATGCTCCTCTCTCTCCAGCCACTCAGCTCTGTCGGTTCTACTGCACAGAAATAAGCAGGAAACCAACTGCTTTTTTGCAAGCTCATTGAGCAAGTGAGTATAACCCGGTCCTCGTATCTTGTCCTTGCTAGCCTTGAGAGAAGAGGGCCAGTCCTGGACTGCATAGGGAACAGCATCCTGAAGGGATCGGATGCAAACCCTGCCTAGTCAGACAAAAGCATTGAACCAAGCTGCTATCCCTCTGGAGGATGGGTTTCAGAGGCCATGAACCCCAGCCAGCAATGTAAATGGCCATGAAAGATGTGAGTTGTAGTAGCACAAAGGACATCTGGAGGCCATCAGGTTGGACAAGGCTGAGAAACCACAAGTCTCTTGCAGCTTAATGTCAGGATAATTGGCAGTTCATGTTGGCCATGTAACGCACCATCAAGAAATGGAGAGTTGCTGCATTTGTTTATGTCTGAGACTGAGGTGTAGAACCTCAGGCTTGCAGGCCAAATCCAGCTCCCCCTGGCTTCCTCAGAAGGCCATGTGCTTTCCCCTTCTTGCCCCAGCCTTTTCCCCAGACCCCTGATCATTTGAGGTTTCCCACCTTTGGTGCAGTTCCTCCCCCAGCCCCATTTTAAAAGGCTGAAGTGGCTCTCCTGGGGCTTAGTCACTGACAGTAAGTATAAGCTGAAATGCGGGGGGCACTTCTCGCTTTGACCTCATCCCTTCTGACTTTGCCAATGCCTCCAGGTGGAATGCAGCTCCCAAAAGCTCTTTGTAATGGAATTTGCCCTTAGGGCTGATGAGCGGTCTGCACCCTGGTTTAAGAATTCAGGAGGGGGCTCCAGCACAGATATGCTTGAGTCAATTTTCCTCTTTCTTACCGCGAAGTCTGTCTGCTTCCATGCGGACATCCCTCTCTGCTTCCATTTTGTCTTTCAGCTGCTTCAGCTCACTGATGGTGTCCAGTCCTCCTGCAGTAAAAGCACTTCAGAAACCCCAAGAAGCTGACATGAAGAGAAGTCACAACTGCTACGCGGCCAGAGTCTACAGACTGCACAGTTGCACTAGGGAGGTTGTGTCCCACAACAGCTGGCTGCGATAGCAACTGAGAGAACTGAGAAAGTAGAGGAAAACCACAAGAAGTGACTGGCCCACCCAACTTGCAGCCAGCAAAAAATGCAAGGACGGAGGTAGAGGCAGTTGGGAGGAGCAACACTGGCTGTGTAAGAAAGTTTAACCATAAACAGCATAACAGGAATGTACAGTTCCTGACCTTGAAAATGCAAGAGGAAATTAGGGACCCTTGATCACACACTGCTGCACTGCTAAAATGTATTGGTCCTATACATGCAAGAGCAATCAGCAGAAGAACTTTGAACCTGCCTTTGGTAAAATATCTAATATTTATTCAAGGTGGGAAGGAAACTTATTGCAATGTTTGACATTATTTTTGTTCTTGGGTTTTAGGATGCAGCCTCTGTGTACCACTCCACCAATTTCCAATTCCATTTTTGTATTCCTGATAGTTGTCGTCTCTGTTCCCATTGCATGTCGCTGCTGCACCATGGTCAGCTTTAGATCAGACCCTTTACTTGATTATTTTAGGGTCTTCCTTAGATAATTTCATGCCAATGTATTCTTTTGTTTTAAGTGTGTGCGTGTGCGCACATGCTAATTATATTCAACATTGTTTTTCTTGCCTGAGTGTTTTCTTCTGTACTTGCTAATATTACTGTCTAACTCCCGTGGATTAAGGGAGCAGTAGTTCAGCACAGCAGGAGAGAACCAGGTATGGCACCTTCCAGATGCTGGAACATCTGGAAGCCACTGCATTGGGGAAGGCTTAGGTCTTAATGGAAACGTCCAAAGAGATCTTTTCTGGCTCTTCTTGCTCTCAGACCAAGCAGGACTTTCAAGATGAATACCATCCCTTTAAATTAGCTTGAAAACACACCAATAACCGGTGTAGCTGATAAATGCATATGTTTTGATCACCTAGCCCCAATGATCAACTGGGCACTGTGTCCTGCACCACCTGAAGTTTCTGAACCGCATTCTGAGGCAGCCCCATGTGGACTGTCTTACAGTAGTAGAATATCAGTATAATCAGGCCTCAAATAATTCTGACCAGCAATACTTTTGCCAGACTGCTGGCAAATTAAATGATACCAGCAGCATTGCCAGTAGTGGCTGGTACCCATAGTGCTAGTGGGGTGGAAGTCAGGTACTAATTACATCTAGTTTGCAACCCAACCTCTTCCCTTGCCGAATTTAGGTACACTTAAGCAAAGCATTTCTATTAATGAAACTAAAGAAGAGCGCATTACCTTGATTCATAAGCATGGGCACTATCACACTTGTTTCTGTTTTAGGAGGTAAGGTGTGTGGCCACTACCACCTGTTGCATCCATCACTACTCTCCAGTGAAATGCAGAGAATTGCAAAAAATCCTGGGAGGCCTCATTATGGCAATAAAGGATTGTTTGGGTCCCATCTCAACATATTAAGCACTCTGTTGTGCTCACTCTTGTCTGGAAGAAGAACAGGACAACTCACTGCAGAAGGGGAAACTGAACCAAATTTACTGTAAGATTATGCTTGCAAAACTCTGTGTGAAAGAGAGAGATGGCGGGGGGAGGTGAAAGAAGGAAGAAAGAAGACGGGGAACTACACAGTGTAACACGGAATTGTACATAGTATAACAGAGTTTTTAATCGAGCGGCAGCCCATTGCACAAGAAGAAACAGAGATCGTGATTGCAAAGGAGAACTGGTCTTTTATTCCAACAGAGCACTCACTTGCCTGGAACAGTAGCAAAACCCAGCATAAAAATACAAACCAAGGCAACAAGATAAATGTAAACCCTAGGAGTGCAAATTGGAGGATTTGCATGGAGCGTATCCCTGACTCAGAACACCACCAAAAAGTACTTATTTGGGCTCACATTGCTCTGCTCCACCAACAAGCCTTTACAAAGCATCCAAAATACACAGATTTATATAAGCAAGAACCTCCATAACTACGCACTCAGACAGCATGAAGCAGCATAATACATAGAAAAAATCAGTTTACACTTGTCTGTTCACAAATAAGAACTAGATTACTCAGGAATAATCCGGTGCACACAATAACTGAGCATCCAAAATCCACATTTTTACATGAATATCCCAATAAGCACCGCCTCTCTGTGTCTTCTGGGAAGTATGAATGAGAAACAGAATAATGGTGTAATAGGAATGTTCACTCACAAGTAAGGATTGGATTATTCAGGAATAGGTGTGAGCAGTGAGTTTGGAGCATCCAAAATCCAGCTATTTACATATTCACACAACATCCCCCAAAGGGCAAAGACTGGAAATCTAAAAGAGGCAAGGGGCTCCCACAACTCCTTCCCCACCACCCAAATAGTAAAAAGCAAACCCAGCATACCTGCTGCCCATTGCTGCTTTCCCTGTAATCTCTGGATTATCACAGAATCAAATTTAGAACATGAATGTATGCACACACCTCTTTGACTTTCACCTCTCAGTTTTCATGTGGACATTGTCATAGTACATATGCTAATTAAATAACGAAGGGAGGAGGAAACACCCATCCATCATTAAGCAATGTTCATTCAGTTGCACTGTGAAGATGCACGGAAAATGGAGAGAACTCATTTCTTAGTTAAAAATACGTTTGCAAAGTTGAGTAGTAAAAGGCGATTAACTGGATATTTTTCTTCCACTCACTTAGATCTCAATCTCCTTGGTCTCCTGATTGCCTACTCCCCTCCTTCAGAAAATGACCATATAAGGCATCCAGGCAGGTTTGTCATCATTGGTGCTCTGCTGCTTCAAGAGGAATGACTAAGCCTGCATGTGTGGCACTTGTGCAGAATTAAACCCAGGAAGCCAGAGAGGTTCCTGGACAGGTGGCAACAATCAGAAGAGGAGCCATCAGGCCAGTGGAGCAGCAGATGCAGCAGACTTGACAGCGAAGAAAAACAGGCGTTTGGGGCTTGCCACCCTGCCTCTACTTCAGCCCTTCTAGATAGCATTGACTCTAGGAGAATGTCGGGAGGGGGGTCAACTTTGTTTTGCACATTTTTCACCTTGTACCTATATCTGCTGTGCATCCTCCAGGTGTAATGGAATCTGCTCTAAAACTACTCATGAATCCCCATCCATAGGAGTAAGTTTTCCCAGCTGTAGTACCTTTGTCTTCCCTGGATGACATTTCAGTTCGAATGCCTTCAGCCATCCCAGAGCTGCCTCCATCAGCTGTTCAGTGTTTCTGCATCCTTCATAGGCCTAGTAAGTGGCAATGAGAGGAAATGAGTGTGTGGAAAGAAGATGTCATCCACATCTTGGGGGTACATCAGCTGAAACCACCAGATGATTTTTCTCAGTATATCTGAGTTAAAAAAGGATGGCGGTCAAGATGGGACCTGTAGCACCTACAAGGCCAACAGCCACGGTTAGAATACGAATCTTCCAGTGCCACCTTCCATCCCGGTTCCTTCAGAAAGAAATGCAGCCATCATAACAGCAGCGCTTTTGCATTTGAATTTATGTTATACATTTATGTTTTATTGTATGTAAACCACCATGTGAGATTTGCATTAACAATGCAGGGTAGATGTGTGTAAAACATAAAGGAAAAAGTTATTAGCCAATGACTAGCCAACCTAGCGGTCAGGATGGCTCTGTAAGCATCTCTATATGGGATTGGGTGGCCAGACTTGCTCAGTGGAAGAGCCACATGCAGTACACGTCAGATGTTTGAAGGCTGCAAGCGGGTGCCTGCAGGTGGTGGCAGCAGGCAGTGAGTCACAAAATAAACTCAGTGCCACCTGTGGCTTGTGAGTGTTGGCCAGCCCTGTTGTAGAGTAACTGTGTCAACAAGATAACAGATATGCCAATATGAATGGCTGAATGCAGTGACCTGGTTCACATGATCAAGAGGTTAAGTGAACCAGAGTTCCTCATTTTTCCTTCCCATGCACATCACTTGCATGTTGGTAATTATGCATGATCAGCATAATTACCCAGCTTAAGCACAGCTTACCATGTCACATGAACACATGCGTGGGTGGCTTGTTGCCAAGGCCAGGTTCATATGACACAAGTAATGCTGCTGGGTGCAATTACTCTAATGCCCCATGGTACACAACTGGTATTTGTGGGGAAAGGAGATAAGCCACCATAGTTTGTTTCTCCTGTGATCATGCAAACCCAGCCCCTGGGTAAGAGCTACAAGTGGCTGATAAAAATTCAACAAATGCATTGAAAAGTGATTACTGTTGTTTATTGAAAAATAGCAAACATTTTACTAGTGCATGTAATTCAGTTTCACATTTTGGAAACATATACATAGAAATCTTTTGTATATAATTGTTTGTTTACATTTATAAACTTTAAACAAGAAAAGAAAATGTTTAACCAGCATGTTTTCCATGAGGTATCTTCACTTTTTGGGAGGTTTCATAGTTTTCCAGCATAGAAAATTGTTTTAATTTTGCAGGACTCCAAAGACTGTGGGACTTGTCTACTACCTCATGAACCCTGGAATTAGGGTTTGAAAACAAGCATTCTTTTTGCCCACTCAGCTGCCCACATTACATACAAACATTTGCTGAAGCTCTGAAAGACACTGCTTTGGTATTATGTCTGTCCTCTTAGTTGCTATCACTCTTCAAGCCCAAGATCTTTTTGACATAGTTCTGCACGTTCACATGGAGTTGTGAAGCAGTGGCGGAGAAGGTCTCCACCGCCAGTGCCCGGGAAGTCTCTGAACCACTCATCATGGCTCGGTAGATGGGAAGTGTATATTTCTGCTTTCCCTGCAATATAAACATAGAATAGTTCACTTTAAAATCTGTAGCATTCAACAACATTCTGGAAAGAAAGCCAAGAAATCCTTTTCCAAAACTGATCACAAGACATTCTGGTTGGGTAACATTTCTAATTACAACGTTTCTAATTTTAATCATCATTCATTTTTTCAGTATACAGAAGATCAGGTCTGAATTTGGGAAGTGGCCAGGACTGAGTCTATTTGGAAATGATCTTGGGAGAGGCAAAGATCACAAGGTGCATGTTGCAAAAACTCAACAAGTTGCTGCACGAAGTTTCTTTTGAACTGGATCCAGATTTAGTTATCTTTGAGTGCACAGAGTGAAATCAACTTGACTCCAATTAGTCATAAGCATCTTAAGTCTCAATGCTTTTGTTTTAAGATCCGATCCTCTGCACAGATGAGGTGCAAACATATGTAAAACAATAAAAGCACCAATACCTAGAACTTCTAGGAAGCCCAGCCTGAGCTCACAGATGAGCTCTCCACCCCACCCCAGCGCTAACCTTTGGAATGCTCAATACTGGGCTAGGCAGTCCTGCTGGCACAAAGAGGGAGGAAAATTGGGAATGTCAAGTGGTTCAAACTCCTGTAGTTCAGGTTGGTGAGATCACAGCATGCCAGTGCCTCTCTTTAGAACTGGCCTGCCGACTGCTCATTTTCTGAATAAGGGATGCTCTTCTGCAGGGATCTTCCTGCGTGCTGCTCCTCAGATCTTGGGTTTTTATCCTGGTGCCGGAACCTTTATAGGAATAGTCCCAGCCCTCTCCTGTTGTCCTCATTGGGATCCGCCAGTTGAGACACAAAATGCCAAATGAATAACAGCAGCAAGGCATCAAGCACAGAGGCAGTTGCAGTCTGGTACAATTCCCGGTGTGTTCTGAAGAACTCTTTTATCATGGGAAATGTTCATAGTCATTAATCAAGGCAACACAACATGTCCTGCTGCAGCACACCAAAACTGTGGCATGGCATTTGTCCAAAGCAGCTTTAATTGAGGGATATGCACATTTTGCCATGATAAACACACTGAATTGTACCAACCTGTGCAGTTGCATTTGTGATTGAGATCCAGCAACACTCCTTTATTCACTTTTCAAAGATCTTGCAAAACTTCTTAATCAATGCTGTCAAGCATCCTTTCTAAGTGGACTGTTTTAAGGATCACAATTAGTCATTCTAGTCTACTGTTTAACAAAGGCTTAAGTTACGTTGTGCAAAAAAATGAATACATTCCTTGCTCAAACCAGTGGAAGTAGCATTCAAAATAACTTATGTTTCTTGTTAGAATAATTGTCTTCTGTTTGGCAGCAAGAGGTGGATTCAGCACCAAGCCAGCATTAATACACTTCATTTTATTCTTGCAGTCCTGATGGTACTATGATTTAAGTGAATTTAAAATGGAATTGGTCTTTTTCTTTCCTCTTTTTGAAGGATCCAGATTGGCGGATAGTATTTATTTTTGTTTTGTTTTTTCTCTTAACTCTTCCAGAATGCAGAAGCAATTGTGGAACATGGAATGGCAATTGAGAGGGGGTTGGAAGAAAGAGATGCTAGTTGAGTGTTTACAATTGAATACAGTCTGGTTGCCTAAATGGAGAAAAAGGAGGCTGAAAGATCATAAAGCCTAGGTATAAAATTACTTAAAGGCAGGACTGCACACACCTTCCAACTAAGGAAAGGCAATTCATTGGATGAAAGCTACCAGATTAGCATGTCTAGGAACCTTCAACAAGAAGACACATCAACCACAAACCTGGCTGTGAAGGAAATATTTTACTTTGCCAAACTCAGCCTCATGATTGTTCTTGAGGAGAATCTGACACCAACGAAGTTGAAGCTCTGCATTCTGTGCTTTGGAGATGTTGGGGTACAAGGCACTCATCTTCTCAATGTTCCCTTAAAAAAAAAAAAGGGTAACTCAAGTCAGTTCTTGCCCCCATAAAGTACAAGAATTTTGCATCACAAAACTAAGCAGTAGCATGATCCTTTGGTCACTCCTTTCTTGGAATGGTGCGCCTGCTAATCCTTTATATATCTGAGCTGTGCATAAGAGTGTCACAGACCATGTCTCTCATTTTGAGGGACTTTGGCTCCCTGTCTGCATGTTTCCCTTCTGTAATATTATTCATTTATAAATCTGTCAGTTTGTTAAGGTGCCAACAGGATCTGTGTGTGTGTTTGCTATAACGGACTGATGTAGTTATCCCTGTGGAAGCTATTCCTTTTTAAGACCACAGGCACAGGAAAGATTTCTGGCACCCACACACACAAGAGCCCCCACCACACCCACACACACTTAAAAAGACACGTTACTCAACCACATGTTCTGAATTCTCATTCCTGGAGTTATCAGTTTGCTTTCTGCTAAGTCAGCATCCATCCCACTTTTAATACTGCTGCGATTATTCTTTCAGCACAGTAGAGAAAAACTCACCATCTGGTAAGGGGGACTTCTCCAAGATCTTATCGAGAAAGTAGACCAGCTGGTATGTTTTCCAGGCAGAGATATCTACTGATTTGATGGCACTCATATTGAGGTCAGCAGATGCCCACAGTTCTGCCAGTTGCATAGCTGGCTTCATTAGCTGCTTCCCGGGTGACAAGTCAGGTAGGTATGGGGGCCAGCCAGGCACATTCAGCCACCGATCAAACTCATAACCTGCCACAGGAACAAGTGGGGGCAGGAGAGAGGAAAAACAGAGAAGCCTGCTTGAATCAATAGCAGGAGTTGGCTACTGAAGATTTATATAGCACATTTCAATTGCCCAAACACTTCACATAACCTCTGCAGAGTGCTGCACGATAGGGGAGAAGCATCATGGTCTCTGGCGAGGAGCAGAAGAAAGGAAAGGGGGAGCGGCTTCCTTCTCTCATCAGTGACACTCATTTGAAGCAGAGGCATCCAGCTTGCAGTCTACCCTAGTACCTTATGTGAGAGCATGTCCCTGGAACTGGATTGCTAAAGAACCCAATGCCACCACCAGTCTATTGTTTCTGCAATTAACTGACTCATGCAGAGATCCAGGGAAAAGTGTGCTTTGATTTGTTAATGAAAGGAACGGGTAGGACTGGTTCCATTCCTCCAGCTGTTTCTCCAGCAAGGAAGCTGTCTTTGAGGAGAGATGGAGCTGAAGAAACAGGAGCAAGATCAATCCAAGGGGGAGAGGAGAAAGGACGTTGCTTAGGCAATGCAGAAAGTGTAAGAGCCAGTATGGCCTGGTGGTTATGGTGCTGGACTGGGAAGTTGGACAATCCAGGTTGCAGGACCCACTTGGCCCTGAAGCTCAGTTGGAGACTTCGGTTCAGTAACTCACTCTCAGTCTGATCTAACTCACTGGGTGGTTGTTATGAGGATAAAATGGAGCGGAGGAGGTCTGCATGAGCCACCTTGAGTTCCTGGCGACAGGAAAAAAGGAAGGATATGAGTGTAATAGGAGGAGGAGGAGGAGGCAGCGGCAGGAAATGCCTTCAGCCCCAGGGCGCTGCAGTGTGGGCAAATTCCAGCAGTGGAGGAGACCTAAGGCAAAGGAGTGGAACCAAAGGTAACAAGGGTGGGACCACAATACAACAATGCCAACATGCTGCAGCTTAAAGCTCTTGTTGGCAGTAACTGAATCTCAGAAGAGGCACCTGACTTTTCAGAATGATGGGGTGGGATGGAACTGCACAAGAGCAGAGCAACCAGCCAACCGTCACTGGTGAGCCAAAGGCGGTGTGGCCCTCTGGGGAAATGCAGAGGGTCACACTGGGACCCCCAGAGGCTCCCCAGGCCTAGCATGTGACCCTCATGGGGAAGGGAGCACCGTCAGGATGGGGCACAGAATATGGCTCGTCCTGTCCAGCCTGACTCCTTCCCTTCTGCAACCATTACAGGATCTCCACTCCTCCTGCTGGGCCAAGCACTAGGCCACCAATCCTGTGTGCATATACCTACACTTGTATATACACATTATTATTTCTATATTGCTCCACAGCCAAAACTCTCTGAGCAGTTAGGCATACCTTGAATTCTAACCTAATAGCAGGTCAAAGGATTCTGACTTAAATGAAGGGGATTATTTTCATTAAACAAACATGACAGGATCAAGATCTAGGCCTGCCTCACTACCACTTCCGAGGGAATCTCAGTGGCAGCAACAAGGAGAGCATCGCCTTTTGAGTGGTGCTCTCCACCCTCGTCCCCCCCCCCCCCCCAGTTATGGAACAAGCTCCCCACTGAGGTCAGGCTAAGGCTGTCCTCTAAGACAGCGCATTGAGGCAGCATCAATATTATCTTGGGGGATTGTGTAAGCTGCTTAACGGGCCCTGTCATTTACTTTGTGTAAGCTACTGAGCGTTAAAAATTGATTTAATTTTTTATTGTAAATGTTGTGCTGTAATTTTTATGATGTTTTTATTGTTATCTGTATTTTGTATTGTATATGCTGTTGTGAACTGCTCAGGAATCTTTGACTACTGGGCAGAACCGAAATCTTATGATTAAGATTATAACAGTACAGTTTGAAGAAATGGGGTGGCCTCATTGCTTTCACTGCATTTTACAAGATTTCAATCCGATCTGCCTCGGCCTCGCTTAGGGCACATGTATACATTATGCTCATTGAATCAAGGCACTCTATGCTCCTGCCAACACCTGTGATAATGGCAAGGGTCTACATGTTATACACAGGACAGACACTAAGGGTAGTGTTTTGCAGGCAGAAATTCCCAGGCTCAACCCCCAGCCTCTCCAGGTAAGCCTGGCAAAATTTCTGCCTAAGTTCTGGAAACCTGCAGGTGGCCACTGTCAACAGTACTGGGCTGAGACTGTTTCTTACATCTCTTTAAGTTTTCTGGGACACAAGCTATGTTTTTCAACTAGCCCTTTATTATAAACCTTAGTGTTATTTGCTAACCATACGCCAGCCTTTTAAAAGTTGCAGGAGCTTTGCTACTTTTACCCTTTAGAAAAGGAAGACAAGGTGTGTATTTCAAGAATGTAACCTCAGTAGCAATTGCAGGGAAGAGCAGGTGGAGTAAGCAGAAATGCAGCGCAGAGCAAGTGAAAGTAAGGTAGCAGAAAGCAGCATACAAGCATGGAGCTTATTGGATTGTGGGATGGCACAGGAGAAGATCAGCTGGCAGGTTATGTTCACAACCACCTTGACTGCTGTGAAGAATTGCTGCTCAAAGCTTTATGCCATGATGCTTCTGCAGTGGTTCTACCTGGCTAGTATCTTCCTGGAGATGTTTTTTGAAGATACAGCTTCATAAAGATATGTAGACCATGGGTTTGGTTCTATCAAACCAATGTAAGCATCTCAAGAGGTATCTTAGGAGAACTGAAGAGACTTCACCTGCTCATGAGTGAACCACCTCTAAAGTTACAGGCTGGGCCCAGAGAATATAGAAGTTTTAAGTATATGCAGTATTGCAGACCTGGAATTTTGTCCACGCCTTGTTTCTTCAGTTCTGGAAAATACTTCAAATAGAACTCCAGAGCATCATCGGCTGTGATGCTCTGAAATTTGAACTCATTCACATACGCCTGTGGGAGAGAAGAGAGAGACTGGTCTGAGTTATGCTGTGTTCTGCATGGTGCATGGCACATTTCAACTCTCCTTTGCCAAGATATTGTGAGACTCTCTTGTTCCAAAGTGTATCAGCTCAACTTCAGCCTACATCATTGGATACTCCATGGCATAAAAATGTGATTTATAAATAAATACATTTTTAAAAATCCTGCTGCTCCAGTCTGAGCAAACTACACTGGGGAAGTGGAACAGATAGTTAATCAGTTTTAGTATATGTGTTGCCAAAGTGGAGAATAAGAAGCCAGGATTACCGTTTGTCCTTAGTCTTGGCCCTTCTGTTATCAACCAGATGCCTTTGGGAAGACTCGGAGCAGGACATGGGAGCAATGGTACCCTCTTTCTCAGTAACTGTTCCCCAGTAAGTGGATTTCAGAAGGAAGCTACTTCTGAAGCTGATTGTCATAAAAATCCATCATGACTAGTAGCTATTGATAGCTCCTGAGAATCTCCTTAATACCTTTTAAAGGTTGATGGGCTATCATCACCGCATCTTGTGGCAACTAATTCCATCATTTTATCTATGTGCTATGTGTAAAGGAACGTCCTTTTGTCTATCCCACCACTCAAACTTCATTGAATGACCCCAGTTTCAGTATTAGGAGAGGACTGTCCACTTATCTACATTATACATAATTTTATGCACTTCAATTAGTTTCCCTACTTACTTGTCTATTTCCTTAAGCTGAAGAGCTCAAACACTGTAACCTTTCTTTATTGGGGAGCCCCTTGATCGTTTTGGTTGTGCTTTTTTGCACCTTTCCTAGCTGCACAGTATCTCGTTTGCTGTGCTGCAATCAGAATTGCATATAGTATTCAAAATGTGGATGCAAAGAAACATTCTTTGTAAGCACACATTTGGGCAAAATTTTCCCCACAACCTGCATGTAGCACAGACAAGTCCCAAACTGACATACAATACCTGCAGGAAAGCATCAAACTTGCTCTGGTCTCCCACAAGATGGGCAAGATAAGACACAAAACAATAACCCTTTTCATAAGGGGTTTCATTATAGGTGTCCTCAGGATCAATTCCTAGTAGGAAAAAATACACAGGCTGAGATTGACAACACACCGATTACCACGGTATTGAAAGAAACAATCAGATCCAAAACTTTAGCATGCTTGATGCTGACAATCTCCCATTTTGTGCCCTTGCAACTGCTTCCCTTGGGTTACAAATGGGGAAATGACTAAGCATTAACTACTTTCCTGAGAGGCCATCCAGAAATTCTAGATCTAAACACAGAATTAGTGCTACATCAAGGATGTTTAACCTCTTTCAGCATGAAGGCCAAATTCAATTTCAGAGAAGTTTTTGGAGATGAGGCCAAAGATGAACAAAAATGCAAATATAGTTTAAAGGTCTTACTTCCACTAACTAAAACTGAGGAGAAGCATTTCAATCTTTCAGATTTGTAAAAATGTGTAAAAGCCATAAATGACCAGTGGCTGAAAGAAAAGGGGCATGGCCATCTGACAAACCCCAAAGAGCCTGAGTGGGATCCTGGCAGGCCTGATTTGGCCTGTAGGCCTGGAGTTTCATACTCTTCATTCAGTTCTGCAGATGACACCAGCTTTACAGCCCATAATTCTCACAAAGTAGGCTGCTCCTAATATAGTGGTTATGGTGGGGATGAGAAGAATTGGTTGCCTGCCTTTCAGAACTAGTACTGATCTTTTCCTCTTTGTTTGGGAAGCTGGATTCCCACATGACCACATGACCAAATTCCTAGGCTCAAGTGTCGTGAGGTCGTAACTCACGTCCCCAATTACTCACACAGATGCAGGCAATAAAAACCTTTAAAGATTCTAAAGACCTTTATTTCAGACGACGGCAAGATTTATGTTTATGACAGAGAGTGTAGGAGCTACTGCAGAGAGCTCCAAGCAACACAGTTGCCCCCCTCCTTTCTGACCTGAGATTTGTCACGTGGACCTCAGTCTCCTCATACGTCCCTCTCCACGGGGGTTGGACAAACTTCTTTCTCTCCTTCTCTGTTCTAATTGGTCTAAGCGTCGAAGTCTCCGCCTGAGTTGGGCACATTCCATGACAACCGACTCCCCTTCCTGATTTCCGGGAACTCTCTCAAAAACTTGAGTCAGGTGGAGGGGGGGACTGTTTGTGCCGTGGGCACCAAGTATAAATCTCCCTGCTCTAATGCCTGATCCTCGCTGGGGGCTTCTGGCCCTCTTTCGCGTGCTAACGCCTCCCCTGAGTTGTTAGGCACGGCATCAAGAAGGTCTGACCTGGCTCTATTTGCACCCTGAGTTTGTTGAGAGGATGATCTTCCCCAGTATTGTCCATGTGTTGACGAAGCAAAGCCCTCCCTGTTGCAGCTTCTAAGGAGGTGTAAGCGGCACCTAGTTTCAGGGAACAAGCAGAAGGAGCAAATGAGCTATTTATTGAAGCGTCTGGCAAAAGATACAGAATGACATTCAACGGCTTCCTTGACACTCTGCGGTTCAGTCAGCAGTATTCAAAAGTTCATTTGGAAACCAGCATCACAGTTACTGCGGGGAACCTGCAGGTCAAGGAAGATTCCTCTGAAAATATAACAAAAACAAAAGGAACCCCCCTCCCCATACACACATATTTCACTATTCAAAAGAACATCTTACCATTCCTCAAGCTGCAAGTCTGACATTCAGCTTAAGTCCACAGGGGAAGAATGGGGCACATACAGTCCTCTTGTAAGATTGTATCACTTAATAAATTCATACAAAGGACTGTTTCACATAAGGGTTTCTATAAGCCACAGAAAAGAAACATGCCAAAGAAAAGACCTTTGGCTTTACTTGCACAAGAAATCCCTCAAGCTCATCCAAGACTGTATAAACCTGAAAGAACTGAGCAGGACATATACTACTAGAGGCATAAATATGTGAGCAGAATTGTGCTGGATCAAAAGAAAAGCCTCTCTAGTCCAGCATTCTGTTCCTGCTGTGGCCGACCAGTTACTTAAGAAGGAATGCAACAGCATAGTCCCGCTTATACTCCTCAGCAACCCTCACTGAGAGGTGCACTGCAACAGCAGAAGTTCAGCAGCAGAATCTGCGCAATAACAACAAGACAACTTAATCTCCTCTTTTTGATATAGCCAAGTGGGAACCAAAACCAAGCTCTTCCATGTTCCAGTCCAGCATTCTAACTACTATGCCACACTGGGCAGCCTTTGCACCAGTCAGCATGTATTTCCGATGTTCTCTATCTACTCCATGCCATCTGACAAGAAGGCACTTCAGGTGTGCAGCCAAACTGCCTCCTGTCAGGCCTTCCTCGGACTGGATGGTGAAATCAACTGATGTGGCCTCCTCACCCACTGACATCACCCTCACTGTTTTGCCTTTTCCTATGTTGAGAAAGGCCTGGAGCTTCTCCCAGTGCTGGCTGAGTTCCCACTGCCTAGGTCCCTGCTGCACGAAGGTTTGAGCAGGTTTGCGAGAAGCCACGGATATTCAGAAATACAAACAAAAGGAAAACAAATTCTTGGAGGGTAACCCTCAAAACAGCCCAGTCATGAGGATTATGGCTATTGTACAGTATATTGGCAAATGTGGGGGGAAAAATCAAACTGGGAAGGGAGGCTGGGTGGGGGTAGCTAAAGGAGAATGGTTGGTATGCTGAACAGCAGGACTTATACTGCAACATTTTGTTGCAGGTCCCATTGAACTGCTATGAATAAGCACAGTAGAAGCATCCATGTGGATGTCTATAGTGGGCTACTCACCATAGAGTTCGGTGGAGATCCTCCTCTGCGCATACATGGTGAAGCCCTCATTCAGCCAGAACTCACCCCAGTGGGCATTAGTAACTAGATTTCCAAACCAGCTATGTGAGATCTCATGGATAATCACATCAGCCAGGGAACGATCGCCAGCCAACAGGCATGGAGTCACAAAGGTGATGCAGGGATTCTCCATGCCCCCAAAAGGGAAAGATGGTGGCATAAACAGAACATCATACCTGTCAAACACAAAAAAGTATCAGCATAAAGACCATGTTGGTTATGGCACTCACAGCAAGAATTCCTAGGAGCACAAGAAGCTGTCTTATACCAAGTCATCCAGCCCAGTGTTTGGGTGGCGGTGGCAGCAGCAGTGATTGCAGCTCCCTGGCAGGTTTCCCCATCATTTCCTGCCTGACCCTTCTTAAAACTGGAGATATCAAGAAGAAAAAGGGGGATTTTCTGAAGGGAAAGCCATGTGCTGAACTGCTAAGCTCTCCGCAAAGGGTGAAGTATGAATCAAGAAGCAAACATCTGAATGTGCTGGTGTATACAGAGTCATACTATTGGTCCTTCAAATGTAATATTCAGCCTTCTCCAACCTGGTATCCCCCACATGTCAGAAGGCAACTCCCAGGCTGGCTGGGATGTATGGAAGCTGTAGCTGAAAATATCTGGAGGGCACCAGGCTGCAGAAAGCTGATCTAGGCTGATTATTAATGACCCTCCAGGGTGGAGGACAGTGGACTTTCATCATTCAAGCTGGAAACAGCAGGAATTGAACTCTGGACTTTCTCCATACAAAACACGTACCCAATCAAGTGAGTGACAGGCCTTTCTTTAAGTAAAAGTTTAAGGGAAAGGGAAAGGCATTTCTCTGCAAAATATGGAATTGGGGTGTCAGTGTGAGTGGTCTCTTTATGGGAATTCTTCCCTCTTTCATAGCTACAACAAGAAGTTATGCAGCAGGAGGAAAACCATGACTTATTTATTTTTCATTTATTTACTATATCACAATATGGCTTCCCATTTTAAAAAATAACCCCCAAGCAGTTTGCAGCTATTTACCTTCCCCACACATATGGCCCAAAAAGCTTCTCCCCAGTAGTAAGAAATTCTTCAATCACACCATTGTATTCTTTCTTTGCAGCGTCAATCAGGCAGGGCTCAGCCCACACATGACTCCTAGCAGGGGGAGGAAAAAGGCAGGAATTCTGTAAAAGGTGCAAGAAAACATTCATAGTCATATACACAGTGATGTGCAAGACATTAACTCTGGCTTGTAAATAGTCTCTCACATCATTGCTCAGTGTAAGTAAGGACATATTCTGCACTGGATATGAAGAAACTGAGCTGCTCTGGCAGTTGAGGGATAGGGTTCTTTTTGCTTGAATATTATGTCTCCAGCCCATGAAAAAGGGAAAATATTAAAATTACAGCAACCATTAAGATGAGTTAGTAAACAATGGTTTCCAAAAGAAAGGAAAAAAATGGGCAATGAACATTTAAAGGTGTCTCTGTTGCAGGAATGACCCTCTAGGTGTTGTTGAACAGCAATTACTGTGAGCTCCAGCTGGCATGTCCAAGGGTCAGGGATGATGGGATCTGAAAGCCTAGACAGAGTTGTATTACTACTTGCACTGTATCTTTATTATCTTTAACCCTCTTGTGAAACAATCTGAATCACAAAGAGCAAGGGTTCATTCTTTGCAAGCAAGAATGTACAATCATAACTTGCAGCTGGAGGATAGTATTCTGGGATCTATGCAATCTAAACAGGCATAGCAATACATGCATTCAGCCCTCCTCCAACCAAATTCCACAGTAAACAGGATACTGGGAGGATTGTGCTTTAAGAGGCTCATAGATTTAGATAAATCTAGTTTTCTCTGCTTGGGTCTACTTCATTCAAGGTACAATCCTATGAATGAAAGGAGTCCTAAAACTACCAGTATCGCCCAGCTAACCAGTGTCCCTAGTCGTGGTGGCTATATGGTATTGGAAGCTGTATGCCTCCATATATCAGTTACTGGGGAACAAGAGCAAGAAGATGCACTGCTGTACTATTTGTGGGCTTCTCACAAGCATCTGGATGGCCATTCTGGGATCAGAATGCTAGACTGTGTGTGTCTTTTGCCTGCTTTGCCAAGACTCTTCTTGTTCTTATGATGCTGCTTATCAGCTCCTCCTCACAGAAACAGGCATAGCCAGTGCAGTCCTTCCAGCTTTTAGCAAAAGCCTCTTTGATTACCTTACCTTATTTATTGTGTGCTTTAATTCCAGATGAGTTTTACCGATGGTTTTCACTTTTGATGGCCTCATGGTAAACCCCTTTGGATATTTTGTGTGTGTATCAGAGAAGCAAGTAATAGGCCTAGAGAGCCAGAAACTGATGTGCCAGTTCGTCTTTATCCTTGCAGCAGCTCCTTACCTTGGTCCCACTTCTGCGGAAACTATGTCACCAACAACCAGGGCAACCAAATAGGATGGAATGGGATGAGGCATCTTGAAGAAGAAAGTGTCGTCCTTCTGCTTCTCCTGGGTGATGGCACTCATCACCGCTGTGAAACCCTCAGGGACCTAATGAAAAAAGAAAGTAATGCCAGTGGTATAGCAGAAAGGAACACTCACGATAGCGATACCTCATCTTGCCTTGTGAAGAGGACCTGTGACAGTCACTTTTTCCATTCATGGATTCTTGCCACAAAGGAGATGGAGAGAGAGAAACCCAGTAGCATTATTTTACTGCAGCATAAAGTATGCATTATTGGTACCAACCTTCTCCAACCTGGTGCTCTCCAGATGTTTTCGACTACAACTTCCAGCATTTTGCTGGCTGGGATTAAAGGGAGTTATAGTCTAAAATGTTTCAAAGGCACTGGGTGGGGAAAGGTTGTTCAATACAATATGCCTAAACAGTATGGATTTATTTATTAATTTCACTTAATATAACAACATATATAATGGTATAGTAGATAAGTAAACTAAAATGTTATATCTGTGCAAACCTAAGGGTCTCTGCGTACAAAAGAGAAGTATGAATGTGTTCCACACAGAGACTGATCTTTATTTGGGCAGTCCTCAGAATCAAGGTGCTGTGCTGTTATTAGAAAAGAGGTTGCAACTGTAGGTTCACAATGCACCAAGCACGCGGTAGTGAGCAGTCACTGGAAGGGAGGGTTTCCCAGAACTCCATGCATGTCACCAGGGCTGGCCCTTTCATTAGGCAGAGTGAGGCGGCTGCCTCATGCAGCAGTTGCTGGTGGCAGTGGGGTTACAGGGAGCCTCGACATGGTGGCGTAGAACTGGCAAGTGTGCCTGACTTCTGCCTTCAGGTGTGGCGGAAGATGCTGTTCAACTGAAGAAAGATTGTAGTGCCAGTTTATTTGGCTTCTGTATAAGGAAATGGGAGAAGCCCCATCATCCTCTTCACCTCAGGCAGCAGGGAGTCCTGAGCCATTGCTGATGCCCCTTTGAGTTCCGGGATGTATTATAAATGGAATAAATATATGGTTTGGAAGTCTTTGCTGCAATATGTTCAAACAGGTAGGACATCTCTCCCTTCTTACAGTGCCCCATGGAACTTATATCATCAGCTGTTCTGCTTCCTTAGAGTAAGGGAGTAGCTTACCTTGACAATAGCTGAGTATGTACTTTTAACTGCAGGGGTGTCAAAGCAAGGGAAAAAGGATCTGTTCAGGACAGCTTGGCCTTGAGTGTACATATAGGGCTTCTGCTTCCCTGCAGTCTGCTGAGGACTGAGCCAACACACCTGACAAAAGACAAAAGACAGCCTTCTATCAGCAATGGGAAACTTTACCTGGATGAGTGCAGAATATGTGCTCTTGACAGCAGGGGTGTGAAAGCCTGGGAAAAACGACCTGTTGAGCACAGGAAAGCCAGAGGTGTAAAGAAGTGGTCCCTTCTTCTGGGATGTTTGATAAGAATCCAGACAGGATATCTACAAGAGCAGGTTACAGGATCAAACTTTTGGGCACTTTTGATTTCCCCCTGAAATCTATTATCTAAGCTAAAAAAAGAGAGATTTTTTTTGTTTAACCACCCAGAGAGCTTCAGCTATTGGGTGGTATGAAAATGAAATAAATAAGCAAACCTTTCCGGTCCAGTAGCCACCAAAGCAAAGTGAGGATCATTCTAGCACAGTCCTCCCCATCTGGTACCCCTGACCCACCCAGCGTGTTGCCCAGAACCCCCATGATCCCACAACCTCCTACTGGCTAGGATAATGGAAGCTGAAGTCCAACATAGCTGGAGGGAGGGCACAGTGTTGGAAGGCAGCCCAGGTTGCTCCTGACACCTGGAATAAGCTGGGAGTTGCAGTAAAAATAACTTGGTAGAGAGGGAAATCCTTCTGTTCTCCTTAGGTCAAGAGATATGCATTATGCTCCACCCACACCCCAAAATCCTTGGGGATTTTCGACGGTGGGATGCTTTGTAAAATCCAAATCCTCACGTCTTCAAGACAGCTGCTGTGAATTCTTTCTAGAAGAACAGTGAGTTAATGAGTTGATCATGCACACATCCCACACTCAGACTTCCACAAGTCCCAGGCTTTCAAGTACATTTATGCAAATTAGAAGTGCATAGGCAGAAGATTCATTGGTTTTTCTCTATGAGTCCTGATAGCTGAAGCTCTCTGGGTGGTTCACAACAATTAATCCAATACAAAAGACAAAATAACAATACAAAGTGAACACAACTTCGCTTCAAGGGTATTAGCACATCTTTTAAAGAAAGGTTTTCTAGCAGAAACTTTAGGTCTCTAAGCAGAGTCTAACAAAAATGGGTACAGAAGCAACGAAACTGAACAAAATGCAAAAAGAGACGTATTCTCAAAAGTGCCAAATGGAAACTTCTGCATTTAATCCCTGCATTTAGTGAGTGATAATCTTATAAAATGCAAATAATGAAAGCAACAAAACCATCCTAAGATAGCCACCATCTTTGCAAGCTGGCTTAGCTTGTTTTCAGAATTTGAAAGATTCTTTTATAAGATTGTCCTGATGATGGAGCTGTCCAACTTTTTGCTTTGCAACAAGAAGCTACTATGGGGAAATTTTCCCATGAAGCTTCCTGTCATGGCAGTGCCGGCCATTTCAAATACTTGGAGTGTGCTGCTGGTATGCCTTAGATTCTCAATATGTAGTAGCAAGGCAAGGGTGGGTTCTTGGGGTGAATAACAAACCAATGAGACCCTATGGGCTGTTTCCAGGTTGTGGGTCACTTGTCAACCACCCCAGCTGATCCTTGCTGGGTTTTCAGGTAATGAAAAGCTACAACATGCCTCTGTTGTGCTGCACAGTGCAAAGTCCTGCCAAGGAATGTACCCAAGGTTGCTTCTCCTCATCTTTGTCTCTGAAATACATGGGACTTCAGGGAGTTTCCCTCAGGCATCTTTGAGAATATGTTCTCTTTTTGCATGTTGTTCAAGCAGTCTAGACACAGTCTATCCACAGTCTGGACCCTGGGTCCACAGATATCAGAATGCACGTTTCATCATCCCTGACTATTGTCCACGTAGTCTAAATGGCTATTGTCCCTAAACGGCTTGGGACCAGGATACCTAAAGGAATGCCTTCTTCCCTATTTGCCCTCCCACCACCTGAGATTGGCAGCAGAAGCCCTCCTCCGGGAACCCTCTGTGAAAGATACTAGGAGACAGAGTACCCAGAGGAGGGCCTTCTCTGCAGTGGTGCCCCGTCTGTGGAATGTGCTCCCCAGAGAGGTCTGCCTGGTGCCGTCATTATATGTTTTTCTGCACCAGGTTAAGATCTTTTTATTTAATCAATATTTTAACAAGTGTTAATATTTAATTTTATTGCCATATTTTAATTGCAGCCAGAGTGGATCATTAATTTATTTATGTTATACTATTATGTATAGAATTTTATTTGTGTAAGCCATCCTGAGGCTCTTGCAAAGGACGGCATACAAGTATCTTAAGTAGATAGATAGATAGATAGATAGATAGATAGATAGATAGTCTGGGGATGAGAGGAACTGTATTCTGACATCACCTGTGGACCCAAGGTTAGAAAAGGCTAGTCTACAGAATTCCCTTACATCCCAAATCTGTATTTGGCTCAACAGTATAAGGTCAACTTCAGCTGCATATAACCTGGCTGGGAACACACCAATCAAAACAATGTGAGGAGGGCTTGCACAACACAACAACCTGCACTTGGCACAGACCATGCAGTGTGGCTTGCTCACTCCAGGGCTCATGATGCAGCCAAAAGACAAATGGGCACATTGTGGGTTTGTGCTCATGTTCTCCCACCTTGGTCATCCCATGGGGATCCTGGGGGACTCAATAGAGTACCAAGGTTTCCCTCCTCATCATTTTGAGTGTTCCCTGCCTTGCCTTTGCACTTTTAACTTAAAAGCCACAGTGAGTTATGCACCATGGTGGACTAGTGCATGAATGAGTCAATAACATTTTGTAGAAGACACTTGGCTAAATGAGTGCTCTTATACATTGGAATGATCCAAACTTTACATTGGGGCACAAACCATCAGTTCCTTATTTTTTTCTATGCATGTTGGCTATTACTGCTTCAGAGCACTGTGTTTGACAAAACTCTGAGCACACAGAAAGCATGAAAGAGATTGAGCATTAAGAAATGAGGATTTCCAGTTATCTTTGACGCCGTAACGGACGCTCCGAGCAAGCGTAGAGGAGCCCTTCCACCCCTGCTGTTAGCGGGCAGAGCCTGAACCTTGAACACTTGGCCCGCCAGCACCCAGGTGAGGAAGTGGGACTAGAGCCGTCCCGTCTCCTCCGCCTCCGTCCCGCGCTCCCTCACTCACCCCGGGGCCTCCTCCAGCTCGGTAGGCGATCTCCAGCACGACCGTGTCTCCGCACGTCAGAGGCTCGGGCAGGGTGATGTGCAGCGCCGAGCCGTAGCTGGCAAAAGGGCGCTCCTGAAAGGCGAGAGGGCGCAACGCCTCGGACTCCACGCGTGCCTCTGCTTGCTCGCAGGGGCTGCCCGGCGGCGCCAGCCCGGCGCTTTCCACCTCCACGCTGGGGTGCGAGTCCAGGACCAGCTCGCTGGCGCGGTCCCGCAAGCACGTCAGCTCCAGGCGGACTGAGCCCCGCAAGTGCCCGGAGCCCGCCGGCTCGAAGGCCACGCACAGCACCAGGTGCAAGTGCCGCAGCTGGAAGGAGTCGGCGCTGCAGGCAGACGCTGCGTCCCGCTGGGCCGCCATGACTCGCGCCTCCAGGAAGGAAAGGGGGAAGCAGGGAGCGCGCGAGAGAAGCGCCGAAGCCTGCAAGAGGTGAGCTCAGCTCAGATTGCCGGCAAACGTCTGTCAAACCGGTCGAGGTTCAGGGAAAGGCGGGCGAGGTCCGGCCCACGGGGCGGAGCCGCGCTCGGAAAGTGCTTTGCTGACAGTTTCTTTGTCTCAAGACCGGATTTCCTGGTTGCATTTGCTGCTGTGGCGGCGCCCTTCTTTCGTAGTTGTAGTAAAAGCCGCTTACGTATAAGGAATAGTGGAGCCCTGGCTGGACCAGGACTTTTCGCTTTCTCAGTTAAAAACATGATAGTCCCCTCTGGCCCCAGTTTATGGAGAGAAGCTGACCAGAGTTGAATCTTGCTTCAAGACTAGCATCCGTCCACCACTGCAATAACGTACTGCAATACGTTGGGGCAATACGTTAGTGTAGGTAGCCTTTCCCAGCTTGGTGTCCTCCAGATGTGTTGGACTACAGCACCCAGCATCCCCTAGCCAATACAGTCCAACACCTCAGTCTGCCTAATGGTAGGTTGGCCCTGTAAGGAGGAGTGATTTGGCAGCCAGCCTTCTTCCTCCTTGAGGAAGTGGTGCAGTAGTTAGAGCATTGGACTAGGACTGGGAGGCCCGAATTCAAATCCCCACTCCACAAAGCTCAGTGGGCAACACTGGGACAATCACTATCTGCATGTTGATTGGGTCAGACTAACCTGCCTCAGAGAGCTCTGAGGATAAAATGGGAGAGTGGGGTAGAGCCGTCTACGCCAGTCAGAGTTCCTTGGGAGAAAGGTAGCCTATGGAGTGGTATACAAGTACTTAAAATTAAATAAAACAATAAATATGCTCTTTCAAATTTGCATCATGTATAAAAAGCGAGTTTATTTAATTCTTACATTTAAAAAGAAATTGCTCTGCAACTGGATCATATTAGGAAGGATAAATACGTTGTCCAATATTATTTCCCTCATCTTGCAGATGGAGTGATATATATGTCTGCATGAGATTCAGGCATATTGTAGCCATACTGTCAGCAAGGCATATTATTGTCCCATATTGCAAGATGTGTGCGTAAGAGCAGAAGAAGAGCTCCACTGGAGCACAAGCAGGATACGAGCACAATAGCACCTTCCCGATCATGTTCCCCAACAACTGATAGAGCTGCATGGCTTCTGGTATTGGCAGTAATTAATAGCCATCAAGACTAGTATAGCTTTAGTGATAACCTTATCCTCCATGGATATGTCTAATGCCCCTTTGAAGTCATCCAGATTGATGGCCATTAATGTTATCTTTTGGTAACATATGCCATAGTTTATACCCTGTGTGAAAAGTACCTTTTTTGTTTTGTTTCTCATGACTCTTTCAACATTTCACTTCATTGGATAAAACTGGCTGTTCGTTTCACAAGAGAAGGGGAAGCGGTATCCCCATCCATGATCTTCACAATATGCATCAGTGTATATAACTATATCATGCCTTTCTTACCCTTTTTTCTAAGCTAAAACTCTCAATAGTCTAATGTTTCCTCATAAAGGATTTATTCCATCACCTTGATCATTTTGCTTACTCTTTTTGTCACCTTTTCCAGTTCTGAAATACTCATTTTCAGGGTGTAGTGACCAAAATTGTACATAGCATTTCAAATGTGGATTCATCATATATTTGTGTAAAGACAGTAGGAGATTGGCTGCTTTATTTCAGATACTGTCTTGCTGATTCCCAGCATAGGAATTCATATTTTCCACAGCAGCCACCTACTAGATCGACCCATGAAGACATTCACCACAACCCTTCCTGATCACACTGCCAGCTCAGAACTACATCAGAGTATATTTGAAAATACTCTATTTTGCTCAACTGTGCATCATTTTACACTTGCTAATGCTGAACTGCATTTCCCTTTTAATGCAAATAAGTAAGGGCTAAACAAATAAATAAGGCACAATATTTGATTCTCCAATTTTCAGAAATAGACTTCATAGATTTATGAAGTCCTGAGAATGGATGTTTGAGCACTAAATTGCTACTGATTTATCCATAAAGTGAAATCCAAGTGGTAAAAGCTCTGAGCAATTTCATCTGCAGTAAGGAGAATGTTCCTTTCTCCTGAATGTTGCAAAGAATTACTAATTATAACATCCCTTGAATGTATTGCAGCCTTCCCAACAGGCTGACCCCACAAGATGTGTTTGACTGCATCTCCCAACATTCCCAGTCAGTATGGCAGCTGTCTTGGGCTTATGGGAATTGCAGTCCCAGATTGCAGAAGGCTGTTTTAGTGGAAAAAGTATTGCATTCCTCAGTTTATTTCTTAAAACTGCATCAGCATCATGCTTGCATTTAATGCTTTGGACCTAAATCAGGTAGAGTGTTTGCAGATTTTCACTGGTTCCTAACCTAAAGCAAACATAATGCTTTTTAAAGCACAGATTTGTTTTTGAGATCTTATTGCATTGCTCTTCCAAGTAACATGTAATTGAATCGCTCAGATCTCTGAAATATTGTATCAAATAAAATGAGTTCCAGTGCTATATGTGTCTATTCCAGAGCTAGTTTCATAGAGTTCAATAGGACATATTTCCAAGTCAGGGAATACACATGACAGCCTTAGGTTATAAAGTCTTTAAGGCAGCACAACAAAAACACATGGGAAGAACTCTCCTCATCCTAGCTTGGGCTCTAGGAATGGATGGATGGCAAAATCTATAGAGGGGCACTTTCTGCACCTCTGCTTTGAGATCCCGCTTCAGATTCTTTCTTTGCTCTCCTTTCCCCAGAAGATGAGATTTTTTTTCAATTAACACGAGCTGCCAACAGGTGTCAGTCTAACTGCACACTTGGCTGTTCTGTGTTTTTCATCTTAATGCCCGGCTGCCTCTATATCTTTGGCAGGGACTAAACTAGATGAGACGTGCATCTGGTTTTGATATCAAGCTGTGCCCCCTCATGATTTCATTTGTGGATTATTTGTTTTCTCTTTCTTATTATAAAGTGTTGACTAGTCTTTAACTTCTAGCAAAGGTAGACTTCAGCCTTTCTCTCTTCCCACATGTTTCAGCTTCCTTTCATCTTTAAAATCTCTGTTTGTGCCCCTTTCTTGAGTGCCAGGTTCTCTCTGAAATGAAGGCTGAAATCCTAAGGACACTTGACAGAAGTTAGTTCCACGCTACCAAGGATAAGAATTATACTGATTTTATTAAAATATTTTTACCCTTTGAACCTCAGAAGGGATCTTAAAATGGCTGAGGCAGAATTAGGTTGTCCTTGTCCTGAAAGTATCTGAAACTTTATAGAGCCTTCCCTGACCTGGCCCTGTCCAGATATATTAGACCATTATTCCCTTACCCTACTGGGGATGATGAGCATTGTAGTCCAACATATTGGTAGGTGCCAGTTTGGGGAAGGCCATTTTAAAGCTTGTCTGTCAAGCTTATTTATTTTATGTATATGTATTTATGGAACAAATGGATATTTATTGGTAGAATAAAATGTTTATCCCTCACATTAAGCCCCTGGAGTTCCCCGGGCAGCAAATCGTACAAAAGAGACTGTAACAATGCAAGGTAAGAAAGCACAGTAAAATGTAATAACAAGACACAACAGCAAGAAGAATATGTCAGTATCAGCAATAGACCTTATCCTACAGCTTGAACAGTAAAAGTCCAAAGATGATTAAAGTACTCAGATACCTGGGGGAGGCAGGTGGAATAAAGTATTCATTTGGTCCCTAAGGTTGCAACTCTATATATACTCCCCTGCCAGCAAGTCCCATTGAGTAGTATATGCTTCTGATATGCACGTGGCATTAACATGGATACTAGGTGAGCAGGGAGCTTTCCAAAGTCCCCCTGCCATAATTTGTAAGGGGTGGAGGAGAAAAAATGATGATCCTGGTGACTTGGACATCTAATGTGGGAGAAGGCAGTCCAAATAATATCAGCCCCACAAACAGTTTAGGACTGCAACAAGCATCTCCACTGGAAGGGGAAGCAACAGGGCAACACAGCTGGGCCACTTCAAAGCATACAGGGTTTTGTACATGGAAAGAGTTTCCTGCATAGGAAAAAGCTTGCAGACCATGCATAGATCACTGCCATAAATAATGCATTTGTTGAAAATGCTGTTGCTTCTGGCTTTGTGTACCTGATCTCAGACGCTAAACTACAGCCTTCTGCTGCTCTCCAGATGTGTTGGACTAGAACTTCCAGAATCCCCCAGCCAGCTGTGTAGTCCAACATATCTAAAGGGTACCAGTTTAGGGAAAGCTGCTGTACTAGATATGTGTGCAATATTTTTTTTATATGCCAGCTTACACATGGGTTTTCGTCCCCCCCTCCCCGCCCGCATAGAAACTATTTCCATATGGGAAGGTTATATATTTGGAAGTCACTTACAGCCTCCAGGAGGCAGAAAGTCTTGTTACATCTACATCACAGTGGAATTTGTAACAAGCACAGGTTGCTTAGCCATCCATACCTTAGGCTGGGAGAGTAGGTAGCAGATTTTGGGGTACTGCAAAGGGCAGGAAGTCCTCAATTATTTAGTATATTACTGTATTTTATATTAAGTAGGGATATACATTGTTGTAAAGGATGGCATATAAATGTTTTAAATAAATAAATAAATAAAATATAACATTTGGATTTTCTGCCTGAAGCATGAAAATGTCCTGGCTGTTCAGTGATAGTTGTAGATTTGAGTCACAAATCTAATGCATTTGCTGAGGCAAAATCCCTAAAATGTGGGCAGGTATGGGTTATGACTCAAATCCTAAGGCAGGTAAAAACACAGGGAGCCAGACAGGTACCATGCAACAGAGAACAGAAAAACAATAGCTCAGTCTGATAATATCATCAGAGCCCATTTGCAGATACTAGTTGCAAGAAGCCCAAGATACACGGAGGCTGAGGTTAGCCAATTCCCATGGCATTATTACAGAGTAAAAGCTTAATCTGAACCTGTGCCAAGCCTCACTACATTTAAAAGCCTACTTTAAAAGCCAGCTCCAAAAATGTGAAGTGATGCCCCTGGGTGTGTGCAGAGTGCCTCTCCTTTCCCACT